CTTTATGGCTCGGTCCACTTCCCTTGTGATAACCCCCACTCAGCAACAAAAGGTTCTTCCAACACTGCTGAATCATGGAACAACAGTGCCACATAGTGACGACTGCAGGCATCACATGATACAAGAACAATAATATGATTGGCCACAAGAGGCCTAGCCTCTCTCTTCCATTGGCCTACAAGATTTAAACACACACCCGGGAAGTCGAAAACCACTCCCCCCACACAGGTATATAAGCATAAACAACTAACGATACTTTAGAAGGTATTCTTGAGAAGTCAGAAGTTATTCTTGACAGGATTTGCGTATTAACTACTGTTGTACGAGATTTCCTTGAATACTTCTCCAGTTGTTATTTTGCTTTATTGTTGGACCTGTGTTTGACGTTTTGCTATTAAAACGAATCGACCATCTACCGGCTGTTTCCACTCCTTGCCTGAAGACACCTCACACAGCAAGAATCTTTCAGTCCCTATACATCTATGCGTGCCCATCTCACCGATATTGTCAAAACCCAAGTGAAGCAAACTAATTCGGACCTTGCCATCATTCCGGGTGGATTGACCAAAGAATTCCAACCGCTAAATATTGCTGTTAACAGGGCGTTTAAAGTTAACGCCGGGCGAGTTACGCCACTATCTGCTAATGGATTGTGGATGTCTGGGCTAAGGTATCAGTCTGAAATGTCATCCGAGCTTTCACGAAGGCCGGAATCATCACTGAACAACTAATTAACAGCAATTAGACTGACTCGGATGTTGATGAGGGGGATCCGGACATGCTTGATTGTTCCGCTTAATTGTTTCGCTGACTGTTTTGTTTCACCTTATAACCTGGTGCGCCTTATGTATGAAAAATTCCCGTTTATTGATAGTGCGCCTTATAATGTGGTGCGCCTTATGGTCCGAAAACTACGGTAAGTTTGATAGCAACATGATGTGCAATTCTTCCGGTTTATTTTTCTTATATTGTCTTGTACCCTCCTCCCAAACAACAGCAATTCAGACGACAACATGCTGAAAAACATTGAGCTGTTCGACAAGCTGTCGCTGCGCTTCAACGGCCGTGTTCTCTTCATTAAAGATGTGATTGGAGATGAGATCTGCTGTTGGTCGTTCTACGGCCAGGGTCGTAAGATTGCTGAAGTTTGCTGCACCTCAATTGTTTACGCTACAGAAAAGAAGCAAACAAAGGTAAACAAATACATTTGTCTTTAATTCAAACCCTGGAGACTTTGTCGCTTTGTGTAAGGTGTTTTGAATGTTTAGACACTTATCTAACACTCCTACTTCTGTCTTAGGTTGAGTTCCCTGAGGCGCGCATCTATGAGGAGACCCTCAACATTCTCCTGTATGAGTCTCACGATGGCAGAGGTCCAGACAATGCTCTGCTGGAGGCCACAGGGGGGGCTGCGGGACGAGCTAGTCATCTAGACGAGGACGAGGAGCGAGAACGAATTGAACGAGTTCGTAGGATTCATATCAAACGACCTGATGACCGCACACACCATCACCAGTGACCCTCCTAGATCGACCTGTCGGCCTGTGTCCCTGACCAGTTTTTTTTTCACCACGCTTGTGCCTTACATCACCTAGCGCCTCTTTTTGATCACTTCTCTCCCCCTCTTTATTTTGACCAGCTCTCTTAAAAAGACTTCTAGGAGTACAGTCATGCAACAGTGTGTAGTGCTGATGTGCAGGTTTTTGTTGTGATGTGGCAGGCTGTGGTGGTTGAGTCACAGTCACTCCTATCACCGTTCTCTGCTGGTGTGCCGAAGTTTGTGTACATGGATGTGTACAGTTGTTTGTTCCAGTTCCAATATCAATAGATCATGTGAAAACTACATTTACAGATCACTGTTTCCCCAACACTGATATTTTTTAATGACATTGTGCCCCCTGCCTCCATAAGACAATCAGGATCTGAACTTAACACACCACCTATAACTGTTGTTTGGAAATGATCCTCCTTATAAACATGACCAAACAGAACGTATTCTGAAATACTATGGACTTCTTATTCTGCATCAATTTGTAGGGGAAGAGTGAGAGCAGTTTCATAATTTAGGGATTTAACCTGTGACCTCTGTGTTTTTTCTGATTGGGTTTGAACTGAATCCTCTAAATGTAATATTTTGACACCATTTGAAATGATCTGCTTCAGGCATGGACACCCTGTTACCTGTTACCCTCTGGTACAGTGGTATGAAAAAGTTTGGGCACCCCTGATCATTTTTAAGATTTTCCTTTATGTATCATTGGTTGTTCGGAACAGCAATTTCAATTAAATAGATCATATAGCAAACAAACACAGTGATATTTAAGAAGTGAACTGAAGTTTATAGGATTTACAGAAAGTGTGCAATAATTACTTAAACAAAAGTAGGCAGGTGCATAAATTTGGGCACCCCAACAGAAAAATGACATCAATATTTAGTAGATCCTCCTTTTGCAGAAATAACAGCCTCTAAATGCTTCCTGTAGCTTCCAATGAGGGTCTGGATTCTGGTTGAAGGTATTTTTGACCATTCTTTTTTACAAAACATCTCCAGTTCAGTCAGGTTTGATGGTTTC